GGTATTTGATATTGTAACTGAATGTCATCTAGTAAACTATACCTACATTCCACTCAAATCAAGATAGCTTTAGGATGTTTTCTTTTGGACTGAAATTTGCTGGTCTGGTCTGGTCTGGTCTGATCTGGTCTGGTCTGTTTAAGTCTGGTCTGGTCTGAACTGGTCTGGTCTGGTCTGGTAAACGTCTGGTCTCTGTGTATTTTATAACTATCCAAGTCTGGTCTGGTCTGTTTAAGTCTGGTCTGGTCTGATCTGGTCTGGTCTGGTCTGGGACTGAAAACAGTCCAAAAGAAAACATCCTTATACACGAATTGGATGAGAAAATAATTTCTTTTGCAGTGTTACTTGGATATGGATTATTGTTATTTTTCTTTGGTACATATTATCAAACTATTTGCTTTCACTTCTTTCTGAAATGATCAAACTATAAGCCAATAGTATTAAACACTCGGTATATCTTAATTGTGGTTGCACTCACTACATGAAAGCGCTTCAAAAAAAAATTAAACATAACTCAAATATGTATGCATAAATATACAAATTTCAAAACAAGTACAAATTAAGCATATTACAAAGAAACATCGAGTATCTAAAATGTAGAAAACTTTAATATACAAACCAATAAATGTATATGGGTATATAACGGGACGAAGGGACTCAAGGGATCACTTTTCATACTTACACGTAAGATGGCCATTAAATTTTGGCATGTTGTATACTTATGTCATAAAAGGTAATTGATATGATGCTTTTGTAAAGCTAGAAAAGGGATCCAAGTAACATTATACAATTTCAAACAAGCTAACTCCCATTTGAAATAAGACCAAACAATGATATGTGACCCTTAAGCCAGTCTTGAGGGGCTAGACATCATTTGAAAAATTATATTCTTCCAAATTCATTTCATCAATGACTTGAATTCAAGATCTTAAGGGTGAGAGTTCAATCACTTGAATCAGTTCCACTTGTCAATTTTTTTGATATGATTGATTTGATCTTATATATTCTAGTCGATTTAATTCTTATAAGATCTGATTTATTTTCATTATTTAAATGCGATCAAGATTGATGTGATGTGGTTTACAATTGAGATAATTAGTCCAAATGAATTTAAAAGTATAATAATAGACACACAAAAGTTGATGGACCTCGCCAAAATGTTGGTGTGGGGTGTATGATAGGTGGTATATCAACCACGTTTTGCTATAGTGAATATAATTAAATTCAAAGTAATAATAAATAAATTGCTAAAAATTGTATTAAATAACATCTAAGCTAGTAATACTCCATAATAATAATAATAGCAATAATAATAGTAATAATAATGATTATAATAATAATAGTAATAATAATAATAATAATGATTATTATTATTATTATTATTATTATTATTATTATTATTATTATTATTATGTAAGGATACTGAAATTTATAAACACATATACTCATCAATTATCAACTATTCATTACAATCTATTATTTCTAGTTCATAGTCTGTTGCCTACTAACAGTAAAAAAACATACCATCTGTTTAAATTATTGGTAATAGTGGACTAGCATTTTACACAATTCAATATGTGAGCCCACATAGGCTCCTAACGCAATAATAACGAATAAGGTATGGCAGTTAGCCCGCTATTTAACTTTTTTCTGGCCCGTTTAGTAACCAATAGGGTGAAAATGCCATAATCCGCTCCAATAAATAACAACAAGGGGATGCCTTATACGTAGTATATAGAGGTGGTCTTTCCTCTTTGTTTCCTCCTTCTCTCCCTTCTATAAAAGCTCCTAATTCCCGATAATGGCTACCACTAGAGCCTACTTTAATTTTTGTACATGTAAATGGTAGGACCGTAGATAAATGAGTGATGATTTGGATTATAGTGAAAAGTATAGTGGATTTCACCCTTTCATGTCCTTGAGTGGATTTATTCTAGATTCATACATAAATCTTGTATTCAATTAACCTTAACACCATAACAAATAGAAAAAACATTGTAATTTCTTCAAGTCAAAATAAATTTGTCCCTCCACAACTAATTTAGAGTTGAAGGGATCTAGGAAAATTTCACATATCATAATTAAAGTGGAGGAAAACAAACTATTTTGTCATACATATTATTTTAATCAAAGAATCTAGAGAAACAAAAGTATTACTATTACAAACATATAAAATAAGCAAAGGAAAATGGAAATCGAAAAAACAAAAAACAAAGGTGATATACGACTATACGAGAGCATTAATAAACCTTCCATATGGGGTGTGTACGTATGACGTATGGGGGCGTGCATGTGAAGTTGTCATTTCATCAATCTCCATTCCCCTTTGCTAGGACAAAATCTTGAACATGAGCAAAACATTGTAAGACTATCCAAATAGGAGTGCATATGCTAAATTCTCAAAATATGAATTTCAGATACTACATCCTTTTTTATCACTTAGGATTTTGGATTAGAGAATCCCCTAAGGATTTAGAATTAGTCCTTCTAGGGTTCTAACCATCTCGATCATTTAGGGTTTAGTGACGACTGTCCGACGGAGCTAGCGGCTCGGCGCATAGGTTCGTCCAAATGAGATCTAGTTGTGACTGTTGTTCAAGAGTGATTGTCCTTCATGTACGCTCAAATGACATTTTATTCACTCGCTGTCTTTTACTCTTATTATGGGTATTTTAAACATATACTACTATTTTCCCCTTTTACCTTGTTTTACTCCTAGTTTGAGAATTTATCTTCCTTTTTCTGTTTTAGATAAAAATCAAAATTACATCTTATTCAACATCCAACTCTAGCAATTCTATTACTATTACTATTGTTTCTCATCCCCTCCCAGTACATATATTAGAACACTCATGGGTTACTTCATTTTTCAACTTGCATGGATTAAGTTGTCTTCGATTAAGGCGTCTTTAATCAAAGTATTTATATTATGTGCGTAAAATAGTTTATTTATGGCTAATTTTGAGTTGCCTCATCAACGACGTCTATTACATAATTTGTTCAGATATTTGAATGAATAGACGTTGCAATTGAATGTGCATGAGTAATATACAAGACATAAATATTATGTAAATGAGTAAATCATGTTTCAACAAGTAAATAGTCTCCCACTTAATTTACAACTCATTGTGTACAATTTTTATTCTCAATTCGCTAAAAAATCATATCCATATCCATGTTGAAAATGTTGCTAAGTCCCCACAAATTAGCTAAATACAAAAAATATAATCTCATATATAATATTTTGGACTCATCCTTTTATCAAGATGGCCTTTGAACTAGAGCCTTATTATGGATTCATGGCATCGTGCAGTTCCAACTCATTTGCATAGCCCATGATCCATTTATCAGCATGTAGTGCATTTCAGTTCAATAACTACACTTGAGGATAAGCTTTAGAGAGTATCAAAATTACAAGTGAACAACTAGTCACATACAAAATCACTCATCATTAATACACAAATAGATTGTTAGTCAAATATAGGATGCTCGTAGACCTCAAGAAGGTTTCAACTAGCCTGATTCTACGATTTCTATGTATCTCCGAAAGGCTTTCGCAACTGAAGAAGGAAGAGAATGGTATACTGAAACCTGTCGAATACGAAAAAGTATACTAATAACCAAGCAATTGACTTTTTGTTGGGTGGCTAATTGATTGAACAGATCGATCTTTCTCTGGTCTCTATCTTACTACGAAGATAGATTAATACTCTTTCTCTGGTCTCTCTCAATATCGAAAGGATAAACGGGGGCTGACAAGAAAAAGAAACGGGGGCTGAAATTCGAACATTGCTTCTTTGCTTCCTTTGCTTCTAGACGAGAATTCCATCGAAATCCGAGGGGAGTGCTGAGGATTTGTATCCTTCATATTTTAGTTTTGAAATCCATGTAAATCCTTAACAATCCAAGAGTTAAAGAATCCATGGACAATTTGAGGATAACTGTATTTTATTAGACTCCATACAAATCCAAATTGAGGACATCCAAACTTTGATGGAATTATAAATTCCTTTAAAATCCTTAAGAATCCATGTTGAGGACACCCCTAGAATAGTGAGAGTCGTAGCTAAAGAGAGAAGCAACATTGTTAAAAACAATGATACTCGGGATTGTATATATATTATCATGGCATGTTCACATTTATCATTTTCACCTTGTAATAGTGTAATACAACGATGGAGTCGTAACATTGTTTCTCCTTAATTAACAAATTATACATCATCTCAATCCTATTAAGTCATGTTTTTGGCTACCACACGACTAAAGAAATGATTGCAAATACTTAGTGCAATCCCCATTTTTTAATATGGTAATTTGATTCATCGATTGTCTTGCAGGTTCAGAATATATTAATACGAAAATACTTGGGATGCAAAATAACAAGCGAAGTTGTAAAAAAGAATAAGCATTTGATATCCAAAGACATGCCATGAATGGCCTTAAAAAATATGTCATGACAAACATGGGCGGACCCAGGAAATTCATGTTTGAGGGGTTCAAAATATTTTTTGAGGGCGAATATTATTTTTTGAGGGGGCGAAAATTATTTTTCTTATATATATACACTAAAAATAAATTTTGTTGGAGGGACGGTAACCACCCTGGGTCTGTACTACGGTCCGCCCCTGATGACAAAGCTTCTCACACTCCAAGCATCTTCGTGTCACATAGCTTTCTCCAAACAATCTTTGCATGACAAGCCACTTTGTGCCACAAACCCACCGTTACAGTCTCATAAATTCACGGCAAACCAAATCTATGATATTCCATTCATATACTCCTAGATACATACTTACATTCATATTAAGCCTAACCTTTCATGTCATAGTTGCATCCACATATCAATCCCGAGTATGTCACACCTAGCCCCCAACATTAAATTCGTGTTTTATGTAGAGGAAGCCATCATATATCCTCCTTACACATAAGGAGCCCCATTGTGGATGCCAAGCAACAAAAGTACATCTTTCTATAAAAGGGACATTACAAGTTTCAACAATCCATAATAACTCAACTCAATCTGTTTATTTAGCGTGCAAACTAAACCGGCTCATTACAAATATGATCTAGTTTATAGTTCGTACAGACATCTTCTTAATATTAATATTCCTTCCGTACCATATAACTTTGTCAACTTTTCTTTTTTTATCGTACTATTAACTTTGTCATTTTTCCTTTTAAATAAAAAAATTGTTATTCCTCTTAATTCTCTCCTCCCCATAAACTTCAATCAGACAATGTGTTGAGGTATATTATCCCGGTCCGTTACTGTTCAGGAGCCCAAGGCATCGCCCCAGCTTGGAGCCCGAATGACAAGGTCCATTTCAGCCTATTAGGCATGTTTTGGCCCTTTGGGCCCATTTTGGGCTTACTTGGCCCATTAGGTTAGGTTTCCCCCTTTCCCTTACCCCTATAAATATGGGGCTTTCCCACATGTTTAGGGATCCCCTTTTCTCTTCTTCCCCAACTCATTTCTTCTCTCTAGAATAGCTTGCAAGACTCCATTAATGGGAGCTCAAAATGTACTATGTAATGGTGAAGAGAGTTCTAATGAGAAAGAGAGGGCTTGGACATTAGCCTAAAAAGTCCCGTGGTTTTCTCCCTTTCGGGTTTCCACGTAAAAACTGAGTGTTTATACATATATTTACTATATCGTGTTGGATTAAACTCAACACTGGCGCCGTCTGTGGGAAACAGTTCAAAAAGATTCATGTGTTTCAACTATTCTTGAGTTTTCTACAAAAAAAATTCATACAGGTGAACTGGATTCCAGCAAAGAAAAAGGAAAGAAATAATTCAGAGAGGAAAGAAGCAAAGCCAGGAGGAGAAGCCGTGAAGGCTGGAAGTCTTAATCGAGTTTTAGATCTGGGCTGGGGTGACGAGGACCACCGTCACCATTCCCGCCGCCGTGGACTCCTTCGGCGAGTGGAGCCGCACCAGATGGAACTCCAGCAGTGTCCTAGGCCGCACCGCACGCAGCATAGCCATCGCTCATACTTCGCCACCGGCCATCGCCTGGGTCGCCGCACCGCCCCTCGACGTCGGCCGTCAACCGCAGACCACCCACCAGCTCAAAGAGGGTTCTCTTGAAGCTCGGGGGGGTCTCCTACCGAAGACCAGGCCCTGTAGTCAACCCTGCCGGCCACCGCTCGTCTCCCCTATCCAAATGCCCAGCATGCACGTGTGCATTGTTGGAAATGCCGAGGAGGAAGAAATTATATGTTGTGTATTTGATCTAAAATCAAACACCTAGGAAGGAATGCATACGTACATAGTGTATGTGCTTAAATTAGGAAGAAGTCACGTACATAGCTTTTTTGTTTTCATTCTATTTAATTACTCCGTATTAGTCAAGTCTTCTTCCTCGTGAGCAATGGATTCCCAACATGCATGCCCAGTCTTCGGTGCCGATCGTCCTTACACCTCGGCTACCCTTCTTAGCTTACCTCCGTAGCCGCTGCAAGGTCTTCAAAGGATGAAGGAGGTGTTTGGGTAAGCATCAGTAGCCGTGCGACCTCCATCTTGGTCACAGACTTCCCACAAGCCGAAGGAGAGAGTTGGCAGGAGCTACTAGCAGTAGGTCGCGCGTCGGGAGTAATGATCATGTGGACAAGCAACAAGGGCGTCCCTCCCCACTGCATGGCTTCAGGCCGGCTACCAGACATCCAGACGTGCCTCTACACCGAATAGCGAACAACACTCGGGCTGCCACCATGGAGCAGTCGTTCACCGCTAAGTCCGGTCCGCTGCTCCGCACTCGGCCCACGCTCAGCCGCTGCTCGGCGTTTATAGTTGGCCATCCGGCGGGAAGTTGCCACGGGTCCAACGATGAATTGATTGCCGCCTTGCCGGGGACGTACGTATTTCCCACCTTGTTGAGTTGTTGATCAGCCCCTGCCTACGCTTATCCCCCTCAGGCCTCAGGTAACCAACGGCAGGCCGTCATCCTGGGGACACGCAGCTCGGCCTATGGGTGATTTCCGCCCGGCTCTTGAGTCTTGATTTAAGCCGAAGATCGTCTCCCATGAGGAATTTTCCTCTGCTGATGCGAATGAAGGGATAGACGGCGAGCCGGGTCTTATCTTAAGTTAGTGGGCTCGACATTTCAATGCTCAAGTACGTAAATTCTCTAAAGATTAGACCACGTACGTCTTGGCTAAAAAAAATAAAAAACCTTCCAAAGAAAAATGAGGAATTCCATTTGGGCCATTGGCTGAACGGATGGGGCGCTTGGAACTTGTGAAAATATGTCATCAAAGTCAAGATTGGTGAAAGGAGCTCACCCCATTCCACTTGGAGATTACCTGGACGAACGTCTCCATTATTCTACAGCTAAGTGCCTACACTTCTAAGTTGGTACATTAATTAATTTACTAGTTTAAAGTATTATTATTACTAGTATTTTTATCACCATTATTTAATAGGGATTAAAATGTCCCGAAATAAGTAATGCTGAGCGAAGCTCGGGGATGAGCTTCCATCAGGTTTTTAATTTAATAATAAGGAGATGAGCCGGGTCGAGGGTCATCGTACCCCAATGTGGACGCTCGTATCCGGAAGAACTAGGTGATGGGCCGGGCTGAAGGTCATTGCACTCCGAGGCCGACCGTCATGCCCGGAAGAGCCCCAAGCCGACCTACAAAAAAAAGTGTGCACATATACATATTGTCTGGCCATTTGGCCGCGTTACTATGTTCATTGTGCAGATTAAGATCATAGTCAGATAAGAGATGATGCTCAAAATGAACCTTGGTGCCAAGGGCTTGGGGACGAGCATCCTCCACCCGGAGGCCGAGGGTCTAAAGAGAACCATCAAGAGCCAAAGGCCGTGGACGAGCATATTTCACCCCGGATGCCGAAGGCCCGAAGACGATCATCTATCGTCCAGTGGCCTAGGCCCGGGGACGAGCATCCTCCACCCCAGAAGCCGAGCGTCTAAAGAAGACCACCAAAGGCCAAGGGCTTGGAGATGAACATCTTCCACCCCAAGAGCCAAGGGCCATGGACGAGCATCTTTCACCCCGGATGCCGAGGGCCCGAAGACGATCATCTATCATCCAGTGGCCTAGGCCCGGGGACGAGCATCCATCACCCGGAGGCCAAAGCCCGGGGACGAACATCCATCACCCTGAGGCCAAAGCCCGGGGACGAACATCCATCACCCGGAGGCCAAAGCCCGGGGACGAACATCCATCACCCGGAGGCCAACGCCCGGGGACGAACATCCATCACCCGGAGGCCAAAGCCCGGGGACGAACATCCATCATCCAGAGGCCAAAGACTGGGGACGAGCATCCCCACCCCGGAGGCCAAGGGCATTGAGGCGCGCAACACATCCTGAGACCGAGCATGCCCAGGCTGAGCATGTTGAGGTAGAAATGTCCCAAAGAGACCCAACTTAGCAACTGGAGGTCGAATGTCTCTAGGAATAGGCCGAGGATTGCCGCTGTATGATGACTCCGAGGTCTGCTACCGGGTCGTGCATCAAAAGCAAAGACACATCTAGGCCGAGTTTCTAGGGATGAACGTCCAAAGGAAGTTGGGTCGGGTTTCTAGGGACTAATCTTCCTAAGCATGTCGGGCCGAGCATCCTGAAGGAAAATTCTAGAGCCCCAACAACGAGAGATCGAGCGGGCTGACCGTCAAGGGGCCGAACGTCCAAGGAAGCCCAACCTAGCATCTGGAGGTCGAACGTCTCTAGGAATAAGCCGAGGATTGTCGCTGTATGACAACTCCGAGGTCTGCTACCGGGTCATGCATCAAAAGCAAGGACACATCTAGGCCGAGTTCCTAAGGGTCAAACGTCCAAAGGAAGTCGGGTCGGGCATCCGTGGGCCGAATTCCCCAATCCCTCGCACCTATGCGAATGCATTGAATTAAGCCTTTGCTCCGAAAGCCGAGGCCATGTGCAAAGAAGGCAGAGGAAGAGCGTAGGCAAGAGTATACTTTCTCGAGCAGATTCACACACTCACTACTCAAGAAACTGGGGGACTTGTGTTGAGGTATATTATCCCGGTCCGTTACTGTTCAGGAGCCCAAGGCATCGCCCCAACTTGGAGCCCGAATGACAAGGTCCATTTCAGCCTATTAGGCATGTTTCGGCCCTTTGGGCCCATTTTGGGCTTACTTGGCCCATTAGGTTAGGTTTCCCCCTTTCCCTTACCCCTATAAATATGGGGCTTTCCCACATGTTTAGGGATCCCCTTTTCTCTTCTTCCCCAACTCATTTCTTCTCTCTAGAATAGCTTGCAAGACTCCATTAATGGGAGCTCAAAACGTACTATGTAATGGTGAAGAGAGTTCTAATGAGAAAGAGAGGGCTTGGACATTAGCCTAAAAAGTCCCGTGGTTTTCTCCCTTTCGGGTTTCCACGTAAAAACTGAGTGTTTATACATATATTTACTATATCGTGTTGGATTAAACTCGACACAATGTTTAGTTTATTATTTTGCGTGTCTGTCAACTTTAACAAAGTTATAATGAATCAAGGACACGTTTACTTCACATGTTACTAAACAATGTTTATTAAGACTCGTGTTAATAAGCGCCACATAAAATAAGCAGTGTTGTAAGTTCATGTTTACTTCAAAAGATTTAAAACACCGTTTAACATTAAAATGTTCAAAATAACCCTATACATATATAGGCACACAAATATTCAAGTACATAAGTATATAATATAATATGTGGGGGCCTACGCGTACGCGTACCCATACCCCCACCACCCTTACCCGTGCCCCCGCCCCTTGTAACACCTCGGCCCCGCAGGACCCGGGGTAGTTACTCTAGACCTCTCCAGACTCCTAGTACTGTCCTCACAAACCACCACGAGTCTTTACCGCGCATTTTGTCCTCACTCATGCGCGCCCTGAGAAACTTCCCAAGGGGTCACCATCCCTTGGACTACCCCCAAGCAAGCACGCTTAACTTTGGAGTTCTTAGCGGATGAGCTCCCTTAAAAGGAGATGCACCTCTGTTGGTATGAGTAGTACTATTAATCCTCTTAAATTAATCTCGGGTATTACAATCACCCCTACTTAGGAACGCAACATCCTCGTTGAGGCCATAAACCAATCTCAAATCTCAATCAAATCCCAGAATCCTCCCCCGCTAAGTGCCCGCCCGAAATCCAACGGGTCAACACACTGTCGCATGGTTGCTCTGATACCACCTGTAACACCCCGCCCCCTGCAGGAGCCGAGGTAGTTACTCTGGACCTCTAGTATTCCTAATACTGTCCTCACAAACCACCACGAGCCTTTACCTCACTCTGTCCTCACTCATGCGCGCCCTGAGAAACTTTCCAAGGGGTCACCCATCCCCTGGACTACCCCCAAGCAAGCACGCTTAACTTTGGAGTTCTTAGCGGATGAGCTTCTTTAAAAGGAGATGCACCTCTGTTGGTATGAGTAGTACTATTAATCCTCTTGAATTAATCTTGGGTATTACACCCCTACCCCTACCCGTAACCCCCGCCCACTACCCACTACCCACTACCCTACACCCAATTCCACACCTTACATCTATCCTTACCACGACCTTACCCTTACTCCTATTCCCCTACCTAGGTTTGGGGTAAGGGTAGGGATATGGGTGGGTGAGGGATATGATTTAATGTATATGGGGTATGGTCGTGGTAGGGGTAGGCAAGGTTGAGGTTATGGGTGGGTGGGTAGGGTTGGAATTAGGGGGTCAGGGTGGTGAAGGGTATATAGGTCGGGGTCCGGTCAGGGGTCAGGGTCAGAGTAGGGTCAAGGTAAGGGCAAGTGGTAGGGGTACTGGGGGTAGGGAAAGGGGTAAATAGGGTTGGGGCAGGAGTATGGGGTGCAGGGGGACAAGTAGGGGTGGGGTAAGGGGTATGATCGGGGTAGGGTTGTAAGGGCTAGGAGTAGGGGCCTGGTGGTATGGGTGGGGTGGGGGTGGGGTACTCATTATGGGGTTGGGGGTAAGGGCTGGTTGGGGCCGATAGGGGATGTGTAGGGTTGGGGGTAGAGGTAATGTCAGGGAAAGCGATAAGGGTAAGAGTAAGTTCGGAAACTGAAAAAACTTAGAGTGCTACTTAATTAATACATGCTTAGTTAGCGATATTTTTAAGCACATCTTTTGGTTAGTAAGTGACTTTTTAAAGCAATTTACGTTTTTACTTTACTTATCTTACTAACTTAACTGTAACTTTAACAGCCAACTAAACACGTGCCAAGAGAGTGCAAAGAGAGTAAAAGTGAATCCAATTAAGGTTCAAAATGAAAAAAATAAAAACAGGCCCTCAAACTATTAGATTCGTTTTAACCCCTAAATGAGGACCACTAATCTGTGCTGCGTTGAAAATTTGAAAACCCGGACACAGCCTAGCTGGACGCCCGTACATCGGCAGAACACACTCATGGACAGTACACAGTACAAAATCATGTACAGTACATTCCCAAGCCTATACATATACGCGCACGCGTTAACGCGTACACATAGTTCTTCTTTTTTCATATAAACTCTCTTCTACGTTCTCCCTCAGATTCCCTCCTTTTTTCCATTGAGGATGCAACCCCGCCCAGACACAAACAAAACTCCATACATCCCATGCTTCCTTCAGTTAATTTCAAGACCCAATTTTCTGGTTTGACTTGCCAGCTGCTTGCTGTTGTTTTCTTCTTTCTGCCCTTTTCTCTCAGATTTCTCCAAAAACGGGGCTTTCTTGGCGCCCTTTCAGTCATTCTTGAATTATGCCTACACTTTTCTTGTGCGTAAAATAGTCTAAATCATAGAGATAGAGAGCGAAAACAAACAAAGGGTTGTCGTTTTAGGTTGTATGAAAAAAGCCGCCTCTTTTATTTATTGGGATGTAAAGAATGGCGGGTGTAAGTAATGGGGTGAATCCGGTGATGATGGGTACGGGTGAAGTGGACAGCCCTGGTTCGGGTTCGGGCGGGTTTGAAGCCCGGCCCATGAAATTCCAGAACAACCAGCAGATTAATTCGGACTGGAGTGATGAAGAGCAGGCTATACTGGAACAGTGTCTTGCCAAGTAAGTAAATGTCTTGTTTTTCTTGTTCTTGTCCTTTTTCTTTGGTTATCTTTCTTTCATGTCTTGAATTTTGGGATTTAGGTTGTTCTTGTCAGAGCAGCGTGTTTATGTGAGCTTATTTGGGATTAACTTGTTTGTATTGTCTGATATTGAATGTATAATTAAATACTGCAGTTTAGCCATCATGCTTTTCTCTTCATGGTATTATTGAATTTATAATAAGGAGTATATAGAAACATGTATGCGTGTAGGTATGCACGTATGTATGAGGGTTTTCGTGCTTCAATTCATGTTTGATTGTAAGTTCTGTTTCTGTCTTGGTTTATGTGGAGCTTCTGATTGTTTGTGTTTTATTGTTTAAAATGCTTTCTTGGATTATTAAATTTTAGGAGTATGAGAATATATCCATTCTTCTATAAGAATGGGAGTATACTTCTGTCAGCTGTTATGTTATTGTATACTTTAAGGTTGTATGCTTAGTTTTCCAGGTAGAGAATCTTTCTTCCACTCATAATGAGGGGATCTTGTGTGACGCCATTAGATTTTCAGAAATTTCTTGGGACCCACTCAATATATCCTTCCTTTTATCTAGTTCTACTGTTCAGATTACTAGATGAGCCTCATATTTATGCTTAAATTTGGGCTTGTGTAGAAGTTGTATAATAGAATGAAGAACTATTTATTGTATTGATAATAAACAGTGCACGTAGGGATTTATATTGCACGCAAGTTCATACAACAAGAAAGAAGAAAAAGGGATATTACTAAATGTATATTATTCCTCACATAATAATATTACTATTCCTAATAAGGCTTGTCACACAAGATGTGGATCATACTGCTATATTAGCATGTTATTATTATGGAATTGTTAAAAACTGGGATCAGTGAAACTCTTACAGCTAGCAGCAATCTAAGCCACTTTTGATGGTATGTATGTGTGCACGCTTAAATGTCTCTGCTGAATTTTGCATCTTTGGCAAAAAGTATGCATGCGAATATTTTTTTATAGATAAAAGGCCTTATGCAATATAGTCGGTGCAGGTATGCAGCATATAATTCGACAAACATAGCTCGCTATGCAAAAATTTCATTGCAGCTGAATAACAAGACAGTCCGTGATGTGGCATTGCGTTGTAGATGGATGGCTGTAAGTGGTTTCACACCCGACTTTTTGGATAATAAATATATCATTCAATTATTACTGCCCTCACGAGAAGAAAAGTTTTGAGTTTTTTCTGTTATTAAAGTTGGGTAGGTATAACAATAATAAGGCTGGTTGAGTTATTGTTTGTCCTTTCTTTGTAGAAAAGAGAGAGCGAGATGAAAATGGAAAAGGATTCAATTCCAATTAGGAAGATGACCGCTGATAAAAAGGTCAGTTAGTCATCTCATTATTATGTCATCTTTATGCTATAGCGGTTGTATGTATTGGATAAT